CGGGTCGGGCCCGGCGCGGGGGGAGCAAGGCCGGGCCCTGCCCCTCGTCCTCCGGGGCCTGGTGTACCCTGCGGCCTCCGGGGGAGGTTAAATAAAGGGCAGGGTAATCCGCCAGGATAGGAATCCTCCCTGCTGAGGTGGGGTAAACGGATCCCACGTTTCCTTCTAACCCTGCTGTTGTCAGGCCGGCTGCCTGGAAACGCCGGGCTAGCCCCGGTATCCTTAGTATTCACAGCAGTGTGTTAGGAATCCGGAATCCCAGCTCGTTCTTGAGGGCACAGTTGCTCCCTAGTTGCTTCTGTTCCGTAGACACCTGCAGAGCTTTATCTGCAGCTCATGTAGCGAGTCACAGGAGCCAGCGCTGTCGTCCCCATCTGTCACGCCTCCTGGCATTTCTTCCCAACTCCCTCTCCAGAAACATCTTGACCTTGCGGTGCTCAGGAAGGTAGGACGAGGAGCTAAACGGGGTAGCGCAATACTGACGTAAAATAAATGTGCCAAGAGGTTGTTCAGGATGAGGCACGCCGAGCTGGGGGAGCAGGCATCTTTGCGAAACCCCTCGGTTTCTCTCCCGTGCCCCCGGTTCGTGTTTGGCAGCAGCGTAAAAAACTGAGCCAGCTTCCTCCGGCCTTTAAATAGTAACCTCGTTCCTGATTGTTTTCCTTAACAGAGAAAAAGGAGTGCAGGCGGGAGCATCGCTCGCAGTGCAGCCAGGAGCCCCCCCGTGACATGGTGCACCCCAACGTGATCTGCGACGGCTGCGAAGGGCCGGTGGTGGGTGCCAGGTTCAAGTGCACTGTCTGCCCAGACTATGACCTGTGCAGCACCTGCGAGGGTAAAGGTATCCACAAAGAGCACCACATGGTGATGTTCCAAAGCCCGCTGCTCAACCCGTTCGAGGTGAGCTAAATCTGTGGAGGGGAACTAACACAACGGGAGATTCCTCCAGTTTAAGTCATGAGCTTCAATTGCTCAGCGTGTGAACAGTCACATGAACGTTAACCCTTTACAGTGGCTGCCCCGAGGACGCTGGCTCCGTAAAATGCGACATGGTGTGCCACCCTTCCCGTGGATGCACTGCTGGGGATATCCTGGTCCTGCAGCTCCATGCCAGAACTCCGAACAAGCTCAGGCCGGTGCTGCAGCCGCCAGCGCACCCGCTGCCGAAGGTGAGAGGAGATGCTGTGGTAAACAGGGTGGTGGAGCCAGAGTAGCTGAGGTTCTGCAGCACAGGGTGGAAAAACAGACAAAGGAACTAATCTAATTTGAAATATAATTAGCATGTTTCAGTATAGACTGGGATTATTTAAGGCACGCTCGGGCCCGTGCAGTAGAGGATGTGAGGACTATCTGGAACCAAGCCAAGCTGTTAGGTCAAGCATGTCACTGCTCCTCTCCAGATCTGCCTTTTCAGCATGGCTAATGAGCCTTAACAACGCTAATGCCACTGATTTGCTGTTCCAGAGGTATCTGACAGTTAGTTTTTGTCTCTGTACTGCCTTTGTGCAGTGTGTCTGGAAACAAGCACCAAGATGTCATGGGGATACGCTGTAGGTGATCTTTCCCTCTGAGCTTGTATGTATGCTAACAGAAATTGTTTTTCTAGAAGCTTCTACTAACAGCCAGCCTCAGGACCCCAACGTCACCTTCTTAAAGAATGTTGGGGAGAGTGTTGCAGCTTTTCTGAGTCCCCTGGGTAAGTGACTTAGTTTGTTATCCCAATCCCCGAGACTGGCTTAAAGGTCCTGTTCACAGGAGCAGCAGTCAGCTGCCGTCACGGCTACCAGAACTACCTCATGCTACTGAGCCTTAGAGGCTTAATTTACTCCGGCTACTAATAATGCTTTTACAACAGCCACTCCGTGCCTTTTCAGCACCCTCCTTTGAAATGAGGATGGATTTCATTAACATGTCACCACTGTCAGTGGTCACTCGAGATTTTGCCTGGTTTAGGGGGAGTTAGATTACTTCTGCCCTGACCCTCTAAATGCGTCTTTTCAGCGCCCTCCTTTGGAAGGAAATGAGGATGGATTTCATTAACATGTCACCACTGTCAGTGGTCACTCGAGATTTTGCCTGGTTTAGGGGGAGTTAGATTACTTCTGCCCTGACCCTCTAAATGTGTGATGTGGCTCATCTGTTTAGAGGAGGATGACTGTTTGGTGCTTCTCTGCTCAAAGAATGCTTTGCATTAATTCCTACATGCTATGTGGCAAACTGGAAGATTACGGAAGCCTTACGGCATTTAGACTAGGAGGGATCCATGCTTTCTTGGGACTGTGCTTTGGGAAAATCCCTAAGACTTTTTCTCCATCTCAAACGTGTTTCTAGGTATTGAAGTTGATATCGATGTGGAACATGGAGGACAGAGAAGCAAAGTGACTCCTGCTTGTCCCAGTCAAGAGAACAGCGCTGAGTCAAGCAGCAGTACCCTGAACCACAACAGTCAGAGCAAACCGGACTGGAATAACACAGATGGTGCCAGAGAAGTCAATGCTGTGGCAGAGCAGATACAAGACATGGTGATAGATCCTGTGGCCACGCAAATGGAAGATGGCAGCTTCCAGTCCCAGGTACAAGAACTATGACACTAATATGCCTGCTAAATGATTCTTTCTAACACCTCAGCATGCATCGTGGGGTGGAATGTTAAGATGTTAGCAGATTAAGTGATAAACAGCAATTTTGCTTTACAAGTTTACAGCCCAGGAGGTTGGGACTTTAACTCTTCATACTAAAGGCAGATAGTAGGAGCATCCATCCTACCTGCAAAGCACTGCAGCACCTGGATGCCTTTCCTTCCATTTCAGGAACACAGTGAATCCAGCAGTTCATCAGGGGTTGATGAGGACTGGACCCACTTATCTTCCAAAGAAGTGGATCCTTCCACAGGTGAACTGCAGTCTCTGCAAATGCCAGAGACTGAGGGTCCCAGCTCCCTGGATGTATCGCAGGATCCTCCCCACCCAGGACCTACAGGATTGCGAGAAGCTGCACTCTACCCACATCTCCCACCAGGTATGAGAATGCCTGCAGGTTTCATTGAGGAACTGTCACTCAGGAGCTGCCAACTTGCCTGGCACATGCAGACCTGCTGTTAAGAGATGGTAGATGCCAGGGTCACAGAAGGTACAGCTGACCTTGGCTGTAACTTTATTAGCAGGTATGGCAGCACCTGCCCCCTGTTAGACGGTCAGGTGGTTCTCCTCTTGACTGTGGGCAGCTAAGTCTTAACAAGGCTTCTGACCTCAGACTAATAGGCCATTCAAGGAACATGAAAAAAGGTGGTATCCTAAATGATGTCCTTGCTGCATACTCTTGAAGAGAGCCCGTTAATGTGGGATCACTGGTACACCCTGTGACTTCATGACAGCAGTTTTGTGGTGGGAGCTAGTAACAGCATGCCAGGCCACTTAACTGAGATCAACACCAGAGGCCTGCAGCAAGGCCAGCTGCGTCTGACTCAGTTGTCTTAGCTGGTTATGTGTCTTACCTCAAACAGCTGCCCTCCTGCAAGACAAAGAACAGGTCTTGTAGCATTTAACCAGCTCTGCTGGGTGTACTGGGATTAGTGCCAGCCTACCTACTGAGTGGTGTTAAAGCTTTGGCTGGTTTGCCATTTACATGAAGTATTTCAACATCAAACTATTCTTTGAACAGAAGCAGACCCTCGCCTCATCGAGTCTCTGTCCCAGATGCTCTCGATGGGCTTCTCTGATGAAGGTGGATGGCTCACTCGGCTCCTGCAGACAAAGAACTGCGACATCGGGGCAGCACTAGATGCCATCCAGTATTCCAAGCAGCCGCCTCACTTGTAGTAGTCTGCGTAACAAAAAGCACTTTTCCTTCTAACTGAAAGCAAACAAGGCAGTACAACTTCCTCAGAGGTTCGTCTTTCTTCCTGCTAAGGTTTCTGTCTCATGTTCCGAAGTGCTTGTAGAATGAAGGAAAAATAAATAACTATGTTCTGGGCAGTGTTGGAGTGTTTTTAAGTATTGCAGCTATATTACTTAATTAGAAGAGGGGGAGGACTTGGCTAAGAGCATGTGATTTCATCGAGCAGCTCCCTGTGCAAGGGAGGCAAGCCCAGGGCTGTAGGCCTGCCTTTCTGCACATACCTTGGTGCACCCCCTTAGGGCTACGCTGCTGAGAAGTCAGTTGCTTTGCTGGCTCTGAAGCCTGCTCAGCAGCTCTGGAAGAAAGGGTTGCTATGGGAGATCTAAACAAAGAGGTAGCACAGGGGAAAAGAGCTGTAGCTTGTAATAGCGGATTAATCACAGAATTTAATTGTACGAGCCAGGAATCCTTACAGCCATAGAGGTTTCTTTCCCCCCCCCCAAGTGACCTACTTCCATTCTTATTTCTAGCAGATGATGTTGCTAGACAACACTCTGTAACCCTAGCACTTGCCCACTGCAAGTGTCTCTTAAACCCCTCCTACCCCTTCCCCCAAACATACCCACAGAGCAAATAAACAACTTTAATAGTGCAGTTCTGTAAAGCCAGCTTCAGTCAAAAATCTTCCCTCAGAACTCAACATAGAGACAAGAAAGCAAAGCCAAAGATGCCTAAATTTCCCCGAGATCATCATCAAACTCCTCCCCCGTGCAGAAGAGGGGTTCAGGCAGAACACTGCTGGGCTTTGGCCCAGGGTTACCGTAGGCAGGAGGACAAGCACCCTTGTTACCCAGAGAACACCTTCCTGCAGTGGTCTCAAAGGCACCGGATCCTGCCCTCAGCAATTGGCTTTGAGGTTCTTGGAACAACACAGCCTCCTCAACTGAGCCACTGGCGCTGGGCACCACGCTGCCAGGCAGGTTCAAGGCAAGCTGCTCAGTGCTATGCTGGGCACCACGCTGCCAGGCGGGTTCAAGGCAAGCTGCTCAGTGCTAGCAACACTCCGTGTAAATTCAAAACCTGAACCTCGAGGTCTAATCCTTCCAGCCTGTTCTGAGCATCTACTGGCCATACCGGCATCTGCTGCAGTGGTGCTGTGCAGCCCCAACCTTCCCCTGCCCTCCTGTGGTGACAAGGTGACCCTGGCAGCATTTTCCATATACCTGTCAGAAGGTGAAAGAAACTTCTCCCACTTGGAGGGTTTGGTCCAAGTAGTTGGGGTTTGCGTATTCTCCTCGGGCGCTACGGACTCACGGAGAGCAGGAACCGCGCTGTCCCCATCATCCTGATCGGGCACTGCTACTAGACATCTCTTGCGCTGCAGGAAGGAGGAGAGCTCGGTTACAAATCCAGCCCGCACAGCGAAGCTGCGCAGAAGCAGGCAAAGAGGGAGCACTCGGGTCCTTCAAAGGCACCCAAATTCTCCCCAGCCTGCTGAGGCAGAGCCGGGGCCCGTGCGCTGGGTGGCCCTACGAACGCTGAGCTGCGAAGGCTCAGGCCAACTCCATCACTGCAGCCTTAACGGCACGCTGGTTTGCAGCCGTGCCGATAGCGGGATCCGGCTCGACCACTCGGCTTGCACGAGTTGGCATTGTTTTTCTTTGGCCAGAGCCTTTCAGAGAGAAACTCCTGACACAACTTTCTGCTCCTCCCCAGTCACTTGAACACAAGAGCAGAGGAAGACTCCTAAAACTTCAAATTCTGATGACACAAACGGGGTCAGGAGAACACTGTTTTGGTTTACTGGTAGGAAGTATCTTCCACAACTAAAATACTGCAGAGGTTTTAACCTTTTTGGCTTGGTAGGGAAGCTGGAGAACTCCACATTCTTCTACATAATCCTGAACATCACTGGCGAGGAAGCTCTTCTGGTGTTTCCTGGCCAAGAAAACCATTCACAAAGAGGTCAGATTAGCTCCACTGTGAATTGCTTTTTCACAAATCACCAGAAGCGTTCATACAGTGCGTGGCTCTAGCAGTAACAGAACTTTTACCCTCAAATACAAAATCCCTTTTCACCTCATTGCAAGCTGTTCAGCTTTCAGAGATGAGCTGCCTCCCACACCAAATGTCACCACCCAGGGCAGGAATTACAAAAAAAAAAAAAGGTTTTCTGTACCTTTGTTCTTCCACAGTGTTCCTCCTCCCCTGGGAACAGAACTGTTGCCTTCCTGTACCTGCCTCCTCCTCCCCATCTTCCTGATCTTCACTGTCCTTGTCCAGATATTTAGTCCAGCGACTGACTTGTGCCCTTCGCTCCTAAAACATTGGAGAACAGCAAAATACCGGATTCTCATTTTTGGCATTGTTACATACGTGCTGAATGCCCCAGATCAGCAGTAATTTTAGGACATGTTCCTGTGTGGTGTTCCCAGGTTCAGTATCCCGGTGGAGCAGAGCGTTTATGGATCACATTTGCTGCTGTAGCCTCTCTGATTGTACCCACTATTTCAGCTGTCTGAGCCCATACACAGGGATCACTGATTTCACCTGGATTCACCAGGGTTTGCTTCAGCTTTGTGGGTGCCTTACCTGCTGGACTGAACGGTCTTCACATCGGGCTGCTGTGGTTTTACTGTCATTTACAGACTCTTCTACGCACCTAAAACAGACATTTAGAGTTTCTAGAACACACTCTGTCTGTTGATTTATAATTTTCTAATCACCTAGTCATAGCAGAAGAGATGGAATAGAGTGCATGGATAGGAACATCAGATACATGGCAAGGGATCTATAGAAAAGTAGATGTAAAATGAAGGATTTGCAAGATATATTGCCCAAATACTTGAGAAGATCTAGTTAGAGGGTAGCCCTCATTCCTTCTATACAAACAGAGTAACATGGTTGACCTAAAGCCACTAATTATGAAATGCTAACTTCAAACTGGTCTTGACTAAGCAGCTAACAGCATGTCTTCTGGGAGAGCAGCTTAAACCTACTAATTATATCCCAAGCAACCAAGGAAGAAGAGAAATTATTTCACAATGTTTTGAATTTCACAATATTTTGAGAATGGAAATAGCAACCCTTTTTTGATAAAGGGAACAAACAATGAGTTTTCTTCCCAAAGCTTAACACTGAAGAACTGCATATACACAGCTAAGTTATCTAACTAGCTTTGCCCGATTTCTGAAAATAAGCTCCAGTAAAAAGGAATCTGGGTCAGTTCAAGACGAGTTCAAGATTAGGCGATTTGTAAACAGATTCAGGAATGAAATAAACAGGAAAGTGCTACTCAGATTTTCCAGCCCAGTAGGAATTACACCCAAATGTTTGCACTAACCAAGTCTCGTTAGCAACAGCAGCAGCAATTACTCAACAGATTCAGTGGGAAACCCCCGAATGCCGACGTTTAGGCAGCAGCAGCAGCAGAGAGGAGGGTGTTTTCTCTCTGCGGACGCACCTCTGCGCTGCCTGTCAGTCTACGATGGACACCTCCACGGTCAGCTCATCAAACAGTAAATAAGGCCAGTTAAGAAACCTCAAAAAACCCAACTCAAACCACAATGCACATATTTTAATGGGTAAAGGCCTGACCAACACACACTATTGATCAACTAATCTGTAGAAATTCCCTGTCGAAAGAAACATGCCGGGACACTAAACCCAACAAATAGGTTGTTTGTATGAGGTGAGGACAAACCTGCCACATCACGGCTCTACAACAGGGCAGAAAACCTCAGTTAGGTAAGAGGCACCCCACGTGCGAAGAGGCGCGTCAACCCCTGCGCATGAAAAGAAACAAGCAGATAAACACTTTACCCAGATGTCCAGGCAATTGCTTCCTCTGCCTCACCCTGCAGCGAGTTCAGTTTCTGCACGTGGTGCCTGCAGTCCCGGCCAGAGCCCTGGCCGTAAACCTGCAATGAGAATGGCAAGCGCAGGGCTCAGGGAGCACCAAGTCAGGCTCCAGCCGCGGTGATACTGAGGTGCCAAATGACCTCAGCACACACGGCTGAGTCCGAGGTCCTGCCTCGGGCC